AAAGTGAGAAATCTCACCCCCCCAAGTGGGTATGGCCACACCACAACCCCTTCTCCTCCATTCTCCTCTCTAGATTTTAGGAATGCATACGCATGCACCTGGTCTGATTCTCCAAGCCACCTGGTCTGATTCTTCAAGCCACCTGGTCTGGGACTCGAACCATGGTTGGCCATGTGGGAATACAACACCTTAACCACCATGACACCTGCTGGACACAGTATAAGCCCATTTTAGTGCAAAAAAATTTAGAATCCAGGCATAGCTTTGGCATAATACACAATTTCTATGTACTTTTTGGAAACCCCCACCTAGTACTTCCATTAGTTCTGGTAAAATTATATTAGCTCTAGCAAAGGCCAGGTATGTGATGATAGGTGATAGGAAGATAGATGACAATCATACTATTTAGGTCTTTGGTTTCAATTTGCCTTTTGAACTATTTCAGATTGGATATAATTATTTTTGGTAATCTGGATGTCAAGACTGACAGTCTCACTTAGAAATAATCTCTTCTTAAAAATTTGAGCAAATAAAATCAGTAGATGACATAATGGTGACATTGCTGGACTCCCACCTCGTCAACTGCTATTCAAGTCCCAGACCCTGTGGCTTAAAACTTATGCCAGGCCAGGCGCATGTGCATGCATACTCAAAATCCTGAGAGGAGAATAGAGAAGGTGTGGTAGGCAGTTAGTCAGCCAAGAGCCGGCAGCCCTAAGAGAAAAGAGAAAGGAGCATTTTGGTCAACGTCCTAATTCCCACTAGGGTGATAAACTAATGAGGCAGTCTAATTAAAACACCCTGGCTCACATTGGGTGTGCGCAATTAGGTAATCAAATTCCTCATTCTTTACCTGTGAGAAAAGTGCTGAAGAAAACACGTGGATTCGAATTCAAAGGAAGGACGAAGGTAGTATAACAGACCTCCCACCAATGAATATTCATGATCTCTAGTAATAAAAATAAATGCAGTTGCCACCTGGCAATCCGCCTGCCCAAGAGCCTTTTGGGTGTACTTTCCTTTCTTTCTTATTAAATCTTCTTTTCTACCTACTTCATACGTAGTTGCGGTTTCATTTTGTGCAGAGGGACAGAGTTCTAGTTTTAGTGATCCGGACCCAAATTACAAAGGACTTCACAATGCAGCTCAACACTCTCCCATCCCGGTGTGGCTATCTCCTCACCCCGGGGGTGAGTTTTCACTTTCTGTTTCTATCTCTCCAGTGAGCACACACATTTTATAGCAAAAATTTCTCTTAAAAAATATTTTTTTGAGCAAAATTCAAGCCAGCAGATGGTGAAGTGGTTAAATGCTGGACTCCCACATGGCTGACTGTGGTTCAAGTTCCAGACCCGACAGCTAGAAAAGTACTCTGGGCATGTGCACAGGTGCCCAAATTCCGGAGGAAGATGGAGAAGGGATTGGGGCATGGCCATCCCTCCTCGGGGGTGATTTCTCACTTTTCCTCCCTCTCCATCTCTCTTGTGAGTAAACATATCTTGTGGCAAAAACCTAAAACCCCAAAATTTTTTTGAACAAAATAAATCCCAATGAGGAGTCCTGAAATGACCTAGTGAGAGGTGTGTTTGGTGAACCTTTGACCAACGTAGGAAGAAAGAAGGGATCGTCTATGACATTTTGGAAGACTCATTTGTGTCAGCTTTAAGTCTTAACATTAGTTGTTTCAAAAATTTGCCATCCAAAGTCACTACTCACCCCCTTATGTTACACCTGCTTTGTTCCTGAAAGCCATCTCAGAGCCTTTTGGAAGAGATCATTAACACAAACAAAATACATTTGAGAGATTATTACCCAAAATCTAAAGTTTTACTGTAACATTTACAGCTGGAGTCATTTCCATAGCTACTACCATGTCCCATTTTTTTACTTGTCGCCCAACCTCTTAAATTTTTTATCAACTTGATTGAAACCAAAGGAGAGAGAGCAAGTGGTGAAGTGATTTACCTGGATTTTCATGGTATGCAGCCCAAAATAAAACATGGAGAGAAAAGGTCAACCATTTGTATTTGTTCATTTAAAACCAGCTCCAAATAAATATATTTTGCATTAGCAATAGCCTTTTACTAAAAGTTTCTACTTGTACTTACGAAAAAAAGTTTCCCTAGAAAAGCTATTTTTTTCCTTCTTGATATGATTATAATTCAATCCATACAGAAGGAACTGGGTGGGAATATATTAACATTTCAATTCAGCTCAAAATAACTTAATACAATTATTTTCTACTTTCCATTCTATGCCATGGTTGCCACACCTACACAAACAATGTGTAAATAAAGGATTTGTATATATGCTGTACATTATACCCTGCTGTAATTGGAATGATCTATAATTAATCTTTTGAGGAACTACATAGTGACCACATTTTTGCTTTGCTGAGTGTTGCAAAGAAGACTGCAAGGCGCTTGCATGTTTGCAGGCATCATTAACTCCACCTTATGATAGCACTTTGAAAAGAGCACAGGCCTCTTTCTTGTATGATGTTTCACACCACAGAATACTATTCAGCTTACACGCTAGCAGTTGTTTAAGTAGAAAAGTTTACCATATGAATGGTTTAACATGTCAGCAAAGAAAGCATGTGAGGACAATTGTGAAAATACATTCGTGTAGCTTATAGTTGGTAAATTCATGTTCCTGCTGTATTTCAATTACTGAATATATGTCAGAGCATAATCTTTACCTGGGGTGTTTTGAGATTTATAAACCTTTTTATATCTCAAGGTAACAAAACTATGTAAATTCAATGACCAATAGGTAAGAAATTTGTTGAAAATAGCTATTGGATATTTTTAATATTTTTCTTGTAAGAACTAAATCTAAGAAAAGATTTTTGAACCCTTCTAAGCAGATTCAGGGACTCATCAGAAATCTCTGAGGTGTGGCCCCATGGCATCCTTGGTACCCCAGCCATTTGATGGAGAGCTGAGAGGACCGCTATTTGCAGATTTTCAACTCCAGAAGTTAAACTACCTTTCCACCCACATATTCTCCCTTGCTTTACAAAAGAAATTAAAATCTTTAAAGGAAAATAAACCTCAGAAACATCACAATCCAAAGAGATTCAGCTTAATATATAAAATATCTCCAGTAAATAGAGCAGCTTCTTCCTCAAGCAGACTCTTCAGGCAAAGATCTAACCACTGTGAGGTTTGTTCCATCTGATTTATTCCTACAATTTCTCCTTTAAGAAAAATGGCCATTTTTCTCAAAAGGAACTGAATGTGCCATACAATGGTCACCAATACTCGTAAATGAAAGACAGGACCCAAAACAGTGACCATAATTTTAGTCAGAAGGAAAGAAATTAAAATTAGAGAGAGAGTGAGAACCTAACATTATCTAACTTTGTGCAATTCAAAGTTTAGTTTTCTTTGAGCTCACTGTCATGGATTTCAGGCAATAACTACAACCTAAGTGTTAATAAAAGATAAATGAAAATTCCAGAAGGATCTTGAGAAACTAAAAAAAAAAAAAAAAAAACACGTCATTGAGTCAAAAATAAAATTTTAAACATATATTAGTACATTAATAATTCAAAATCCAAATTAAAAGAGTCAAGCAAGAAGTAAATTGCATAAAACGTTTATTATTTATTAGCAGTGTATTTTTTTCTACACTTTAAAATAGAACAAAATATCTTTGGAAGATAAACTATTTGTAACAAAATACATGTCAAACAATTTTTATTATTGAAGAATTACTTTGCCATATATTCTCTATAATATATACATCCACTTCTCGGTGTGTCTATGTATGCACATGTGTATAAATAATTTTAAGACATACACATGTAGATACATCTGACTTATATACACACATAATTATAGAAAATGTACAGTAGCCAACTTTACAATCATTTCAATAACTGCACACAAATTAGTGTTCAGTATGGTTCCCTTTCCCCTATTGCTCAACTGTCATTGAATTACTTTTCAAGGATAATTTGAAAAAATACTATGATCCTCCTATACAATTAACCCATCTTGTTTTTACACCTCATAATAAAATATTTTACTTTTTCAGCATTAGAAAAAATATACAATTTAACTCCATTTATTTTCATTTTTGATTCCTAAAACATACAATTCACTTTTTATCAACTGAGTGCAATTATTTTGTACTGCAGTTATTGAAGGTTAAGTTAACAAACCTGAGTCAAACATTCATCAAATGCCTTTTTAAAAATGTAAGGCATGAACAAGATGTTTTGCTGAAGCGTATATAAATCTCAGGGTACCCCCTCTAACAAATACATTACAAATGATTTAAAGGCTGGGAATAAAGCACTTGATATGGATCCATTTAATTAGCACTTTCAGTGTCTGAGTAGTCAATTCTTAAGCAGCCTAGGAGAGAATTGGGATCTAAGACTTCTCAGAGAAGTGGAGCTTACAGGCTCCGCAAGACCTAAATAGATTACACCTGCCACGAAAGGGCTTCCACTACCTGTAAGGGGTCCTTTCATTCTCATGCTAGGTTTCAGGTATGCTAGCATGCGTTGGGGGGAGAGGGGTGTCGTATACTGTTTAAAAAACAGATATCTGCTTTAGTATACAGAGCTAAGTATAGCAGCTTTTCAGCTTTTCCTCCTCATTGATTTAAAACTGGTGTCAGACCGCATTTGGTTGTGGGCAACAACCTCGTACCAAAAGCAGAATACTCTAATTGGTTTAAGAACTCTTTTAAGAGAAGGAAACAAAAATACTTGGAATGTTGAGTCATTTCATAGAGGAAAAAACACACTTTCAGGAGAAACATTCGGTGAATTCTGATTTTTGAGAGAGAGTTTTTTTTTGTTTTTTTTTTTTTTTTTTTTTTTTTTTTTTTTTTTTGCTACAGGGCACGTGCACTCGCCAGAAAGACAGAGATAGAAAGCGAGAAATCACACACACACACAGACCCCCCAGGGAGGGGATGGCCACGCTGCAATCCCGTCTCTTCCATTCTCTTCTCGGGATCTAGGGCACACACGCACACATGCCCGGCGTGAATTTAAGCCACCGGGTCCAGGACTTGAATCAAGGTCGACTACTGGGAGTCCAGTGACATAGCCAGTATGCTTACTGCTGGTCCCAGTGAATTCTGATCTTAAACTGGATGCTAAGTTCTTTAAATCCCCCAGTGATGCAAAACTAATTTAAATGTCTCAGCAACAAAAACAAAGGCAAAGGGAATTGCCCTAAATATGCTGTATCAAGCAATTATACTCCTGATAGAGATCAACTTGGATAAACTCATCAAATCAGACTGACTTCCCAAAAGAATGATCTGATGTACTATATTCACAGTGGGAGCATTAAAAAATCACTTTAAAAACTTTCTCTTTTATTTTGCTCAATAAGGAGGAATTCCTTATTCAATGTAGACAAAAATCGTACTAAAACTGAACAAATTTAAAATACAAATTTTTGGTAGCAAATAGCAGGAAAATCTAATGTAAAATATAGTCTAGTTTTTACATAATTTTATACATTTATAAATTTATCAAAATAGTCTTTCAAAGTTCACAATACATACATAATGTAACACTGTACATGTAAATGTAATAGCAAATGTATTATTGAAATACATTAAAAATAACCTCTCAAAATACCAAGTTCAACATTAAAACTGTCTTTAAAAGGGTTGAAATCTCCATAAACATAGTTTCAGTGCATTTATAGTAGTCATTAAACAGGTTTCTGGTTTCAAGTCTCTGAAGGTGTTATCAGTGCTCCCTTTAATTTAAGGTAGGGAGGCAGAGATATTCTCCCAGGGAGCAGTTGCTTTCCCTCTGCATTGCTCGTCCAGATGAAGAAACTGTGTGGAAGGGCGTTCAGCGGAGTGGCAAGGCCTTAGTAATGAACATATTCAGACTGAAGGGACTGTGCGGGGAGAGAGAAACGGAGGTTAAATCCCATCACATGGAAACAGTCTCGCAAAGTATGCAGCTTTTTCCTTCAACCCAGCCAATTTAGGTCTGCTATGTAAAAGGTAAATGAAATGAGCAAATAGAGAAACAAAGCATTTGCTAAGTAAGAATGAGATACTCGATTATGTAAAGTGATGGCAAGAAAATGTTGTTTAAAAGCTTACTAACTTATTAATAATGATTAAAAACATAGTATTGAAAATTGGGAGGTAGCCTAAATCCATTGCCGAGCTTCTGTGTAATAAGATTGAGTTGACTCCAAAATATTAAGTGGAGTTTGTAATTAAGTAAAGATTATGACAACATCCTTTGAGAAGATATGTACAACTTAATTTCATTTTATTCATATCGATGGCATGTTAATGCTTCTAACGCAGTAGAATTAGCAGCCGTTTAAATAAATTCCTTAACTATGCTTGAATTTAATAAATGCCTTACAAATCCTTTTTATTTAGGGGACACCAAGTACTACCAGCTTTGAATTTCGATCTTTAGACGTACACGTATTTATGCGGAAGAGTCTTGCAATCCTAAATAAACAGTAAGCATCATCCAGGTAAACAATAAAAACTCCCCACATTAATACCAGATGCTGGCACCTGACCGGAGAATGACCAGAATATCTGATCAGAATGCGTGGAATACAGAGATAAACAGGAAGCGATAAAGAACTAGAGAAAGTTTGCCCAGCAGTTATTTTTGGGCAGTAAGTAGTGCTTAGAAAGAAAAAACATAAACCTAGACATTAGCACATTTTTCTCTGCGCAGTTCTTCTAATCACATGCCTTAGAATGAAAAAGTTTACTTGATTTTCCAAATACCTTTTTTTCCCACTCAATAATTACTTTTCAAGTTGACCTGCAGCATTTTATTAGCAGGTCTTATCCGTTCTGTTGTTGATCTAGATATCAGCGTCAAAGAATCTTTCCATTTTCCAAAGAACTTATGAAAGGATTTAAACTAATTTTATTCAGCTTCAAAATCCCAGTGACTTTTAGATCCTATCAACAGCCATTTACTAAATAAGAAGCTTTACACACAGCAAGTAAAAAGTTATGGTCCCTGACCTCAAAGTGCAAAAGACTGCACTGTCATAACAGACACGAAAAGGCAGTGTCAACATAAACAGTAATGTGCACAGTATAAAATAAGCCCTATGCATTAACAGAGGATTGGGCGAGGGGTGGTCAGGGGAAGAGGGACGGTGTTCCAGGCTACATGTTTCAAGGGACCATGAAAATATCAAGAGCTGTTAGGAAGAAGGAAAAGGTTAGGCAAGGTGGCTTTCTTGATACCAGAAACAGTTTATACCAAGGTTTCTAAACAGGAAGGAGATGATCGAGAATTAAAGCACTATGATATAAGTACACCTGAACCCACAGAGAGAATAAAGAGGTAAGACCCCACGAAAGTCCAGTGAAACTGGTCAAATACCTTGCAGGTTATTCATTTAACTTGTGGGACACCCGCTGCCATATTAGCAAGCAAAACAAAAAAACAGACTATCATTTTGCCAGCTGCTTCTCCTGGTTTTCTCTGAAAACGGACAAGAAGTCAGAGGGAAAGACAGAGGAGTATTCCTGACTTCAAGGATGCCATGTGCAGGTTATATACACGTCAGTCCATGACTGCTTAACATTTGCTTTTGTTCTAATTAGAAAGGCGTTAGTGCTTTAGCTAACAGAAATTAGACATCTCAATTGCTTACGAATTTAGAATAAAGTGGTTTTAGCAAACACCTCTAAAGCTCCGTCTCTTCTCAATAAACAGATAACAGAGAATAGACACTAGACAAGAGAGTTTTGTTAAACTAACTTTAGTCTAAGTAAAGCATCTATGACTACATGGATATACAGGGTAAATATGTATGTGTGTGTGTTTGCATATATTTATACTTATTTTATAAGTCATGGTGCCCACTGAACTGGAAAACAGAAACAGTCTAGAACACTTTAAAGATATTTATTATTAGAAGTGTAATATGTGTGTGTGTGTGTGTATATATATATATATATACACACACACACACACACACACACACACACACACATATATAAATCACTCCCCAGGGGAATGGACATGCTGCAATCCGTTCTTCTCCACTCTCCTCTTGAGATTTTGGGGACACACACACATGTACCCAGAGTGTTTTTCAAGCCACCAGGTCTGGGAGATAAAACAGCAGAGCTGTGGCATCCAGTACCTTAGTCACCATGCCACCTGATGGGCCTAATTAAGGTTTACTTTTGCTTAGCCAATGATTTTGTAGTTATCATAATGAATTAATACCTAATGCAGTCAAAAAAAAGCAATGGCAATTGGAGATAACTATGAAGACAGTGAGACCTGAGATATAAATATAATTTTATAAGTTAGCACTTGTTTATATATCCAAAAGATTTTAATTTCTCAAATATGATATTCAAGTTCATTTGGCCAGTAAGTTCAACAGAGTTAAAGTGCATTATGACCAAACCAAGTTTATTATTAACATATGGTAGATGATGGTATGAATGCCATAAAACTAGTAAGTAATAGTCAGCCTAGAAAATAAGAATAAAATTGCCTTATACACTTGCAGCCCCCAAAATTTTTGTGTCAAAATACAAGCTTCCATCAAGAAGTCTTGTTCCCTGAAAGCAGGAAGATTTGACATAAAACAAAGTGTTAGGTAAGGAGATCAAGACAATTTGTTCTGTTCTGGAAATTTGCTACTAATCTGTTTTGGCAGATGTAGGTAGTAACTTTAAAATTTTAGCTATTCTGGAGGTGTTTCTTTTTTAAACAGCCCAGTTACTTAATCATTATAGAAAAAAAATGTCTAACAATTATAGATATAAATACTATGTAGATGGTTAATAAATAAAACTATAAGTTGGTTATCAAAAGCAGAAAATGGTGAATAATGAAAGATTAAGTTCCTTGCCAGCAGATGAATACAACAATGTGTTAATGTTCAAATTACTTTTTTTTTTTTTTGAGAGGATTTTGCTATAGGGTGTGTGCGCTCGCCAGAAAGACAGAGAGAGACAGAGAGACAGAAAGCGAGAAATCACCCCCAAGGGGGGATGGCCACACCGCAATCCCTTCTACTCCATTCTCCTCTCGGGATCTTGGGCACACACGCACACGCGCCCGGCTTGAGTTTAAGCCACCAAGTCCGGGACTCGAACCACGGTCAACTACATGGGAGTCCAGTGACATAGCCATTATGCCAACTGCTGCTCCCAATATTCAAATTACTTTAACCAAAGGAATTGATGGTTTGGAAGGTTAGTGTCTTAGGAATTCAAAAGCTTGACTCAAAATCTCCAAGGACTTCTGCCATACTGCCATTTTCTTCCCTGTATTTCTTCATTTTTTCCCAAATCCCTTAGGAAAGAAAAAAGAATCTACTAGTTATCCCTGGTTTAAATTCTAACTACAGTGTCAATAAGCACCTAAAAATGGCTTTCATGTGGTAGATAATTAAAGGGAAAAATACATATGTTTGGCAGTATGGTATTTTATATACAACTTTAGTGTTTTAAGTTTCAATGAACAAAAACAACACGGTGTGTATGTGGGGGGAAAATAACATATTTTTAACTGCCTTTGTACTCCCAATCTCTCAGTCTTGACAATAGAGGTTCTGATTTTTTGTATTGTTTATAAATTAACAAGCAAAATGTATGTATTGATACATATTTCCACAAATGTGGCTTCATAATACTGAAAGTACTAGCTTCTATGATATAATACATACTTCTCATAACACTAGATAAAATATAGCTCGGTAAGGTTTTTTTGGCATATTAACACAAAAAGACTAAGGTTTATATTAAAATCAGTTTTGAAAGGGGTCTATACATTTGTCTATAGCATTTTCTATGCATTTCAGAGAACCTAAGATTTAGCAAGCCAATTCTGGTTAATTAAAATGCTATATAAAATATTCTTTCACCTTCCTACATGATTTTTAATAGGTTCTTTTTTCTGGGAATTTAATATATGCTTTTCAACAATCACAAAGAGCTCAATTGTTAGATGACAGATTGTTGACACCCAGCTTGACTCAGCCAACCATCACATGAGTGTTTTCAGTTCATCTGAACACCAAAATTATATTGATGCAAGCTCGGTTAAAATTTATTTTCTCTTATTTTAGTAAAGCCTTATTTCTTAAAAAATAAAATAAAATAAAATAAACAACTTCCAGATTGCTGTATATTAAAGATAAGGTTGCAAACTTGCTTTGCTTTTTGTTAGTGCTTCATTCAGTGACACACAGGCTCCTAAGCAGCTCCGCTAAACATTTACGAACCTAGATAAATTACCCCAACTTTAGTTCAATAAATATTTATTTGGACTTATTATCCTGTGGAGCTCTGGAACAAAGGGACTTCTGAGAAGCTAGATGCTAGCAGAGGAGAGAATCACGTGCAACTGCTTATGAGAGTGACAGGGGTGTGAACCAAGTTCTCTGAGTGTCAAGAAGAAAATGGCATTCTGCCAACGTGGGTCACAGATAACCTCATCAAAGCCATAGCTTTTGAGCCAGGCTAGGAAGTAGAAAACCAAGCAAAAAAAGAGGCAAGGCAGAGTGAATGGGACGTGTTAGGGTTCAGGCTCCCAGCAGGTGTGGTGCCCCCAGAGTCAAGAGGCCGGGTAGAGCTGCTGGAGAAGAGGCAACCAGGGACGCCCAGGGTCAGATGGAAAAGAGTCCTGAAGAGCAGCAAGCCACTGGGTCAACAAGGGAGCCTCTAGACAGAGTGAGGCCGTTGAATGATGCCAAGTACAAGGATGATGTGATCACTGTCTTGGAAAGTTAACCTGACAGCAGTACTCAGAAGAGAATGGAGGTGACAGACATGAAAGGCAGGGAGAACATGTAACAGGCTAAACAGCAGGTCATGAAGACCTCAGTTAAGGGAACAATGGTAAGAATGGAGGGACAGAAAACAGACATTGCAG